GAACGGTTAGGTGTTCAAACTACTAGCCGGGAGGTCGCGGGTTCGAGACTCTTCGGAGTTACGTGAGAGGCGCACTGCTGATGTTTCCCAATAAGGTTGAAACAGCTATACAGTGCTTCTCGGTTTTTCAGCATAGATTGGCATCATTCTTCGAAGAAAAGACTGAATGTTGATGGTGTTTTTGTTTTGTCGGTCAAGGTCCCAACGCTAGTCCTGGATGGTCAGGGAATCCAAGGAATCAGTCAAACTCAATAAATACCTACCAATGTTTTAAGATTGTCTATTACTCGGCTATCCATAAACGGTGGTGTTCTACACCACCCTTGCGGACCTGGTTGGTAGATGTACAAATGGCCATACCGTGGTCATCGTCCTTATCTAGGAGATATGCATACAATATGTTCGAAGATTGTCCACTGTGCACTCTCTGTTGACTTCGCCATGTGAAGAGTGACTATTGTACATGGGAGTCCTTCTAGTTGAGAAAGAATACAACTGTCTGCCATAGCCCACTCACACACTGGGTAGTGAATAGTAAGTACATTCTCCGTAGAACCAGAATGGCCTCTCAATTTTATATCATCCAGGCCGTGGCAGATGAGAGCTTATCACCACTGGTATTTTCATCGGTGTGGCATGAGCCTTTTAGGAGTATACTTTATTTTCATCCAGTAGCTTACTATGACGGGTCATTCACGAAATATCACAATAGATTTTGGGATGGTAGCCGAACTTTCTATCGCTATTTTTTTTAGCAGCAACGTCCATTCTCGGACTGTGTCTTCATCATCTTACATAATCCGTCCGCAGGAAAATTCCATCATTAGAATATGCCACCGCATACAATAAAAATAACTCACTTCGTCATTTGCCATCTGGCTTAGCGTGTTAGAACAGCTGTCCGGTTGGGAATGAAGCACAGAGATGGATATCAAACAACCAGACTTTCTACGTTCATGCGCACGCATGCCAGTCACGCCCTAACCAATCCATTTCCGTTGACGACACGGACCTTTTGCTAATAAAACGTGTGTATTCTCATCACATGCTAGTGGTTTGCAGATTTCCCTTATGTAATAAACTACTTGTTCGTGTGTACTAAGAACCCCACGGAAGTTTACTGGTTGTGGACGAGTAGCTTAAGATCTAGTGGTTGAGGACTAAGTTTTGCTGATTTCTTGGGATAGTCCAATTTTCAACCACCTCCCTGGTCTCGTTTTTACAATCTAGCGCAGAACTGTTTTTTATTGCATACGGTCGCTTTACGGGTACCGTACTCCCTGTATCACGCAGTGATCACGTGGTGGGAAACCGTTGAGCCGATAAGTTAACAGCAAGTGCAGCCGTGCATCCAAATTCTTTCGGCGCTCTACCAAGTTACAGTCTTCCGCAAAACTTCTATACGAGTAGGACCAACAGCAAATCGGCTTCCGCGCCAATGCAGCTAGTAAGCTCTCGCTGGCTGAAGTTTGAAAGAAAACAGTGATGTTATGGCAATGAGCATTTGTTTGAGATCGGCCAGAATTTCACACCGACGGTACACGGCGGATTCACTGAAGTGTATCGGCGTCAGTTGCCTACAGAACGAATTCAGTCCTTGCGTCAGTCCTTGGTTCAAAATGCCGCTGTTTTGATCAACAGCTCCAGCATTTTCAGCCCAACTAATTGACTACGCTGCTAATGCCTTCCACAACCTCAGGACGTCCCTGTTGCACACTTTCAAACGCCTTGTCTCTCTTATTCTATTCACCCAAATTTGGTGCAGCGGTGAATGGACACGTAGATCTAGAATAATCAGGCGAAAACAATGCATCCATCCGGCGTTTGAGTGGGGGGTGGTGTGGATTTTTTAGTCTGCCATATCATTACTGCTGGTTCCAACATCTGCAGACATGCCATTGCGTTCCAGGTGAAGCGACAGCAACATCGTGGGCCGTATTTTGATCCATCATCTCTCTCGATCAGACTTAAATGAGACGAATGTCCGACGTAGGCTCCGGAAACCCAGCCTTGTATGACAAGCACGTAGTGAGTGATTTTGGGTCTAGGACATACGATAAGAGTGGCCAATGTGCGTACAGTAAACTAAGTTGTTGGTGCGTGTTCCTGCTAAATACTGTACACAAGTTTACGAAAAGCTTAACAATAAACTCGGGGTCGGATGGTTGTTTGCCCGGGGGGGGGGGTTTCCATTCCTTCAAAGAAGGAAATTTGGGGAACAAAAAAGCCTTACTTATGAGTGGATGGCTTTTGTATACAGTAACATTATGGAGAGAGGAACATAGTAGCAACTTTCAAGGTTTCTAACAGTTATAATGATGGCTGATTGTTTCCTCGTGAATGGCAACACATTAGCCTATCTTCTCTCAAGTCTTTGTATCCAAATAAATAATTACACCGCTTGGGGAGCGATCGGTTGGGAATTCTAAGATATGCCACCCGATGAAGGAAGTTCATCACTTACAGATAGTTTTGACTTCCCCTGCAGTATCACTTCGGGAAAGGAGTAATGTGTGGCTAAACGTTGGAATGTAAATAGAACTGATTGTGTGGAGTTTAGCACACGACCCGGATAATAAATGGCGGTTTGTCTGCAGAAACTCCCAGCATTACAGACACACCTTCACCCCACGCCCGGTGGTACTCACTAAGTAAACCTTTGGTTGCTGTCAGCCTCAAAGTTTGACATGACTGATATATGCTCATGACTGTGCTGCTGAGGAAGTTGCAAGCCAAAAAGCAGGAACGAAATTGGTTGTTGATCAGGTGGCTGTTGATCAGTTCGCCAAGCTTGGCAATTGTCTTACAAACGTTTCGTCACCATACGAGGAGACATCATCAGTGCGCAGCTGAGTGGGTACTTCTTCCTTGCCTGCGTGCGTTTATATAGCATTCGAAGGCTGTGGTTGTAGCGACCCGGTCACCCACATACTTGATTGTTCAACTCAGCCGTTCACTGGATCGCGAGGCTTGTCTTTTTTCTCATACGCACAAACACGTCGCATTAAGCTGACTCATCGGACATCGATTGTCTGTACCGCCTAGTCAGCGTAGCAACCACTCATGTGCCGACGCGCGCACGTTTACGCACTGGGACCTACATAAACGCAAACCGAACCCAGTCAAGACACACAGACTCGCGCGCTCGCAGGGAGCAGGACGTCAACCTCTCCACA